AGAGAGAGGAGGATGAAGAGAGGGAGGGAGAGTCAGGGTGAGGGAGATAAAGCAGGTGAGATAGAGAAGATGTACAAAGAGCAGAGAGGAAGAAAGTGAGAGATATATTGATAAAGAAGAGAGGGAGGAGATTCAGTGTGGAGAGGAGAGAGATAGTGAAATGAGTGAGAGAGAGATAGAAAAAGAGGCAGTAAGAGAGGCAGAGAAAGTCAAAGAGAGGGAGGAGAGAGAAAGAGGAAGTATATGAGGGAGAGTGGTAATGACATAATGAGAAATGATTACCCTCCTTCCTCCTTTCCCCTCTCTATCTCTCTCAATATTAATCTTTTTCCATCTCTAGCTACCACCATTCTCTTGCTCTCTCTTACTCTCCTTCCCTTTCTCTTCTATGCTGTGTCTCTCACAAACCCTCGCTTCTCTCTCTTTATCTCTCATTTTCTTATTTTCTCTTTCTCTTTGTCACATTGTAATAGATGGGGAGAGAGACCAGACAATTTGAGAGAGTGAAGATAGATAGAGAGAAGAATAGAAAATGAGAGATTATAAGAGAATGAGAGCATGACATGATAGAATGAGTTCTCACTCTTTATCTGTCTCTTTCCCACACTCACTCACTCACTCACACTCTTTGTCTCTCAACTCTCCATCTCTTTATCAGTCTCTCCACTTCACCCTGTCACCACCCTATATTTCTTTTCCATTAAACCTATCTCTCTCTATCTCTCACTCTCTTGCTATTGTTATCTAGCTCTTTTATCTCTCTCTCCCACTTTAACTGTTGCACTTTCCCCCTCTCTCTCTTTCAACTCACTGTCCTTTGCTCTTGCTCTCTAGTTCTTTTTTCCTCTATCTCTCATCTCCACTCTCTCTCTATCTTTCTTCATATCTCATGCTCCCTCTTTCATTCTCACTCTATCTCTCTCAATAGGAAGGGCGAGAGAGGCAAGGAAGTAAGCTATAGTGAGTGAGAGAGAAAAAGATAGATAGAGTAAGAGAGAGTGAGAGACAAAGACACCAAGAGATTGAGAGCAAGAGATGAGGGAAATTGATATCTCTATTCTCTCTCTATCTCGCTCTCTTTCTCTCGCATTCTAGCTCTCATACTTTCTCATTCATACCTTCTCTAGCTTCTCTCCATCTCTCTCATTTCTTCATCTCTCTTTCTTTCATATTTCTTTAGTTTCCTTTCTCTCTTATTCCTTTTATATTCTCTTCCTTCTCTCACTTCCCTTTCTCTCTCTTTGTTCCTTGATCCCTCCAAATCTCTTTTTCCTTCCATCATAAGAGAGTTAGAAAAATGAAAAAGAGCAAGATATAGAGAGCAAAAGATAGGGAGTGAGTGTATCGCCATTTTTTTCTCTCTTCCTCCCTCTTTCACTTACTACTTATCTCTCTCTTCACTGCCTCTATCTTTTTCTCTCTCACTCATGCTCTTTCTCATCTCCCTGTCCCTCTCTTGATGGGGATATAGAAAAAAAAAGAGAAAGAGAGCTAGAGAAAATGATTGAAGATGACATAAGAGAGAGAGAGAGAGAAAATGCGAGGTAGATAGAAAGGTAAGATCAGGAGATGAGACAAGGAGAGAAATGACTGAAGCATTTCTTTCTCATTGTCCATCTCTCTTGATTTCTCCCTCACTCTCTCACTTTTTTCTCCTCATCTCACTTAATCTCTCCCTCTTTTACTATCTCTTACCCTCCATCTCATTCTAGCTCTGCATCTTTGTTCTAGTCTCATTCTATTCTTTCTAGCTGTCCAACTCTTTTGCTTTCTCTCTCCCTCTGTCTATCACCCTCTCTCTCCATCCATCTCTCACTCTTAAATTTCTTCTACTCTCCCCTACAACTCCCTCTCTCCCCTACAACTCCCTCTCTCCATCCCTCCCTGTCCCACCTTGTCCCTCCCTATCTATCTATGCCTCCCCCTCAATCTTTCTCTCTTTCACCCAATCCTTTCTTTCTCGTTGTCTTACTCTCTCACTTTATCTCTAATTTCCCCTTCAGCCCTCTTTATCCCTCACTCTCTCTTTCC